TGGGAGGCTCTCGGAGGCTGCAGCTCGGCTGCGCTCAGGTACAGCTCCGTTGGGGCAGCCCCCAGATCCTCAGCCCCCCCGGGGCCCTGCTCAGGCACGTACATGGGAGGGGGCAGGCGGAGGTGCAGGGGGCAGCTGGGCTCCGCGCCCAGGCTCAGGGGCACGGCCCTGGGGCAGGGAACGGTCCTCAGAGCCCCGGCAGGGCCGGAACAGGGCCTGGCTCGGGTCCTGGCAGATGTCTGAGATGGGGTCAAGGGAAAGCACCCCCAAACAGGGATAAACCCCCCCCATCCATCCCAGGGCAGGAACCCCCCCAGCCCCTCGCATGGAGCTATCCCAAAGGCATAGCTCCCTCCCAGTGTGCGCACACACACACACACAATGCTGCAGCCACAGGCGGGAGCTCAGTTCTAGTGTTCCCATCTTCCCAATGTATTTGCCTTCCCCATGGAAAACCTGTTCCTGCCCGAGGTGTAAATGGGATTTCCTGCCTTTAATCACAACCAGATCCACCAGGAGCAAGGAGCTGCAGCCCAAGCCCATCCCCTGTCCCCACAGCGAGGCTCCCTCTCCATGTGGATGACAATGAGAAGCAGGTTTTGGGTGGGAATCAAGGCTTCCAGATAAGACACATCCATAACCCCCCCCCCCCCCGTTTAGCTTCCAGAGCCACATCCAGCAGGGAAAGGCACCAGGTTTAACCCACTTTCCTAAGCTGTCTAGGGCAGATGTGGAGGGGGATGTGCCTCTGAGAGGGCACATCTGGATCTGTCTGGACAACCCAGCTCAAGCACTGCCTTTAGAGGCAGTCATAAGCCAATGGGAGAAGCTCCACCTGCATCCCAGCACTGGGCTCATCCCTTTCCTGCATGGGAAAAGCAAAATGGTGCTGGTGTCAACAGACGCTGAGCCCAAGGAATCCCAGCCGCACCTTTCCCACTCTGGAGCTCCGGCTGCTCCAGAGGGATCCAGTCTGGCTTTGCTGTGAGCTCCATGGGCACTGGAGAGGAACCACAGCAGCTCCCTGGGAGCCAGGGTGAAGAACACCCAAAGCCAAGCAGTGAATGCAGCTCCAACATGACCCAAACCTAGCCCAGGGCACATCCACACGATCCTACTTGGACAGGGAACTGGAGACCCCGTTGGGATGCTCTGGAAAGAGGCTCCTGTTGCTCCCACACGAATTGGTTGATCCACAGGGATGGGGAGCACCAACAGACCGGGAGCTGCTTCCTCTGGGCTCCTGTTGAAACCAGCAGCTACAGCAAACCACTGGCCTTGATTGAGGGCCAAAGAGCGGGAGGAGGAGGAAGGGACACAATGCCAGCAAACAGGAACACAGGATCAAAGGATACGGGTCAGGCAGTGCCTGGTCATGGGCAGGGACTGGTTGGAGCAGCGGATGTCATCCACGAAGGCCAAGCAGCGCTGGCTGGAGCGGGTGGTATGGGCCTGTGAGGCAAGAGCAGGGCTCAGAGCACACCAAGAGCAAGAGTTCAGCACCCTCCAACTCCTCATCCTGCCCTTCTTCCATTAAACAGAGCTGAAAATAAGGCAGGACTCTACTGCAGGAGGGAGAACTCGCCAGGCTCCACTCAAGCCAGGGTCCTGGAATGCTTGGAAATGTGAGACAGCTCTGAAGTGGCCGCATTCAGTCCCATGTGTACCCAAAGGGCCTGCCTTTGGGTCCCCACCAAACCAACAGCGCCCCCCCCCATGGAGCGTTTCCCACCCATGTATCCCTGAGGAACTCCAGGCTCTCTGGACCCCACCTGGGGCACCGTCCCCAGCTGCACACCTGAACCCTGCTGCCAACGCCTGGGCGCTGCTTTCACGCGGGCTCTGCGCTCACCTGCTGGGCCGCGCCGTCCGAGGCCAGCGCCGGCGCTCGCGGAGCTGCCGGTGCAGCAGCGCCTCCACCCCGTAGCGCTGCCGGTAGCGCCGCAGGCACTTGAGGCGCTTGAGGCTCTCCCGCTCCTTGGCCAGGAGCCCCTCGGCGCCCGGTCAGGAGGCTGCTGCCTGTGGGGAGGGAGGGGGGAGGTCAGGACATCCCCTTCCCCCTGGCTTCCATCCCATTCCTGGTACCCAGAGCTCCAGAGAGCATCAGATGCAGCCAGGTTGGATGCGTGAGCTGGGAGCATATTCTGTGGCGGCAAAGCAGATCCCATCCCAGACAGCTTTGACTTATGGAACTGGGTTGGAAAGGGCCTTAAATCACCCAGTCCATGGCAGGGACACCTTCCCAAGAAGATCCCTTCTGATTCCCGCAGCAGAACAGAGGTTTCTCCAAGTCCAGCTCCTGGTGCCTGGTCTGGAAGCTTCCCTGAGCTCTCCCAGCTGTAATTACAGGGCGAGAGCTGCTTTTCCATCCCTGGGTGCCTATAAAGAGCTCTACCAAATTGGTAGGTACCAAACTGCAGTTATTTTTATGCTCCAGGGCCTTTTCCAGCAAGAGCTATTCTAAGGCCATGCTGGAGCTGCATCTGTGCTGAGCAGGGCTATGCGAGCAGAGCACAAGTGGTGGAACCAACCTTAGCTGCCCCCCACAGGGCTTGACGGCTGAATCCATGCATTTAGAACCCCCAAAGCAGGAAATCCCAGCCAAAGCAAGCACTTTTGTCTCACGATTCCCTTTGTAGTCCCATTTCCTGACAACTCTGAAGAGCAACAGAACCTTCCCAACGCCACGATAGCATCTGCAGGCATGAGCCCAGCCCCAGCCACCTCCTGTGGTTGTTTCAGCCCTTCCCAAGGCAAAACCCCCCCGGCTGGAAGAGGCAAGCTCTGGGGGGAGGCAGAGAGCTCCAGCACTTACCAATGGCCTCGTGCTCGCCCTTGCGGCTGTGCAGGAACCGCCGCTTCTTCTCCTTGAGGAGGTGCTGGAGGCGCTTGAATTGGTCGATGTAGAGCGACTGGAGCCGGATGAGCTTCTCCCTCATGATGAGAGCCACCTCCTCGGCTGTGTACACCCCGGCATGCCTGGAAGACAGCCAGCAGGGCCCATGGGGGCTGCTCTGCTCGCCTGGATCACACAGAGCCATGGGCAGGAGCAGGAACACCCCACTGATGAATGGAGACTCCTCACAACCAAGACGTGGGAGCCTTGGGGCCCCAAGGGTAACCGCACCACCATTAACATCACCCACAAGCTGAGCTCACAGCACCCAACCCACTTGAGGGGATCCTCCTGGTCGCTGTCGATGCTGTCAGCCTCGCTGTCCGGGTCCCCCCGCCACGTCTGCTCCACGGTGACCGGGTCCTGCTCCCCATCGCTCCAACTGTCCTCATCTGCGGGATGCACAGGGACAGGATACTGTCCCTCATCCCGTGCCCCCGCACCAGCAAAGCACATACAGACACCCCACAGGGGCTCTGCCTCTGCACTGGACCTGCTGGAGCAAGTCCAGAGGCCAGAGGGATGCTCAGGGGCTGGAGCAGCTCCTGTATGGAGCCAGGCTGAGAACATTGGGGCTGGAGAAGAGCAGCTTCCAGTGGCTGAAGGGGGCTACAAGGATGCTGGGGAGGGACCTACATCAGGGGCTGGAACGATGGGACAAGGGGTGATGGGTTCAGGCTGGATATAGGAAAGTGTGGGTGATGAGACACTGGAATGGGTTGGATGCTCCATCCCTGGACAGATTGGAAGGGGCTTGGAAAAAGCTGCTCTAGTGGGAGCTGCCCCTGCCCGTGGCAGGGGCTGGCACTGGAGGAGCTTTAAGCTCCCTTAATCCCAGCCCAATTCCATGATGCCAGAACGGATTTCCTGCCCTGTGGCCCTTACCCAGGATACGAGTGGCTTCGCTGCGGCTGCTCTCCGCAGGCTGAGTGCCCGCTTCGGCGCGGACGTAGGCGCTGAGCTGCCACAGGAGGTTCTCCCCCCCTGCCCCGGCCTGGGACTTCCTGCCCTGCGCCTGCAGCGCCAGCGCGTTCCTCCGGGCGTGCTCCGCACACAGCGAGGTGCTGGGGGGAAAACACGGGCTCAGCACCGCCCTGGAGCACAGCAGGATCAGCCCCTGGAGCTTGGGCAGCGCCTCTGCCTGCAGGGACACAACACTGAGGCGGAACAGAGCTCGGTCCTTAAAGCCACTGGAGTGGGTTCTGCTCCCAGCCATTCCCACCTCGCTTCCCAAGCTGGCCCACAGCAGCTCCTTGGTCCCAGAGGGAATGGGGACACCCAGCAGCCACATTCCACGAGGGGAGCTGGGCTCTGCTGCACCAAGGTCCTTCCCTCCCTGTTTTCTATGCACCAGAGCAGCACTAGCACACCCTGGCCACCGGCTCTACCCCACCAGAGGGTCTGTGCTGAGCATGAGCCACGGGCACCGGCTCCAGGAGCCTCAGCAGCACTGCAGCTCTGACCAGGTCCTGCATCACTGTGGCCACCTGATGACGGACCAGCGAGCAAAGACAACCACAGCACCCAGCGCCCTTTTCTAGCTTCCAACACCCCCTAAGGAGCGAGTCCCTGGGCTGCAGGGCGGTAGCAGCACCAGGAGAGGCTCCTCCTGCTCTCAGCGGGCGCTCACCCATCCTTCTTCTCGGTCTTGGGCGCCGCGTTGGGGCAGCGCCGCCCGTTCTTGGCGGACACGTAACTGCACTGCTTGAAGGGGGCGGTCCTGTCCTCCAGAATGTGCTTGATGCAGAACTCCTGCCCGTCCAGGCGGGGCTGGGAGCAGGCCCGCGGGGTGAACGCACAGGCCAGCGGCTCCTGCGCCCGCGGCACAGGCGGGAGGCGCCCGCGGCTCGATGGCAACACGTGGATGCGGATCCGGTTCATGCTTCCGAGCTAAAGAGGGACCGGCAGCTGAAAGGGGGATACAGGAGCTCGCTACATCCCGGTGCTCACTCCTGCTCCCGGTACATCCCAACACACCCCGATGCCCGCCCCTGGTCCCGGTCCATCCAGCTGCATCCCCCTTTTCTCGATGTATTCCAGTGCATCCCAGGATACCCGGTACATACCCGTGCTCACTCCGACTCCCGGGGACACCCCTGGCCCTGGTCCATCTCCCGGTAACCCCCCCGCCATCTCCTCTGCCCACCTCCCTTTCCCGGTGCCTCCCCCCGCTCATCCCGGTCCATCCGGTCCCTCCCGCGGCACACGTGCTCCACCGCCCACCCCCCGTCCCGGCGCCGCTCATGCGCAGTCCCTGCCGCCCGCCTGCTCCCGGCGCCGCCATTTTGTCCGCGGGCGGCGGGCGTGAGGGGAGCCCCGGGGAGCGGCCCGGGCAGCGCCAGGGGAGCGGAGAGCGGCGGGGGAGGGGGCGGTTCCCGCAGCCGGTACGGGTGCAACGACCGGAGCAGCGCGGAGGGGCCGCGGTGAAGCGCGGAGGGGCCGCGCCGAGCACGGGCGCCGCCGCCGCCATCTTACCTCTCTGCCGCCCGGCCTCCCTGGTGCTTCAGCGCACGGCCCGCCCCGACACCTCATTGGCGGACCCGCCAGCCAGTCAGCGGAGGGGGCGGAGGGGCCGGGGCCGGCTCTGGTTGGCTGGAGCAGCTGTCACTCCGTGGGGATTAGCCGCGCCCCGAGAGTCACGTGAGAGCGGCGCGGCGGGCCCGGGGCAGCGGAGGGGTGACCGGTAACCGGGGCTCCGCGGACACAGAACCGGGCTCGGTGTGGAACAAGAGCTTCCCGAGTGCACAGGCAGGAGGGGGGGAACGCTGCTCCCCCCGGATCGGGCCCTGCACAGCCAGCACGCAGCAGGGGGCTGCTCTGCCTCGGGGTGCGACCCCAGCCGGTGTCTGAGCCAGACCCCGGCAGCTCGTCTGGGCTCTGCCCCAAAGAGCAGCCTCACCCCAACAACGTTCAACACCAACCACCCCAGAACACCCCCACAAGGCCCCGTTCCCTTTTGGCGGAGGGGCTGGAAAGGGTGACCTGCAGCAGGGGCGGAGGGATGGAGATGGGCTCCCAAAAGCAGAGCAGCTCCATCACCGCCAGTCCCTGCCTTCCCCTTCATCTCCGCCTCCACTCATCACCCCCAATAACCACCCCCCCACCCCACCCCCCCCGATTAAAGGCAACAAAGCACTAAGGTATAAGTTACTGCTTAAATTATTTGTAAAACGTCTTAAATTTTCTGTGACATCTTTTAAATACCCCCCAGATCCCCCCCCAAATGTGTGTTCCCCACAAGGGGGGGGCAGGGACCGAGCCCCCCATTAACTGCAGGTCAATGGAGGGGGGGGAAGGGAAGGAGCAAGGACCAGAGCAAGGGGGTTTGATCCTTTCACAGCTTCACCAACGCCCGCTCTAAATAGCAATAATAAAAGTTATATTATAATAAAATAGTTCTCTGGTGAGGCAGTGGAGCCCAAACAGCCCTTTAAGGGCAGCCTAGGGCTGCAGGGCCGATTCAGTAGTAAAAAGGGGGGGTTACTTAGGGAGAGGGGGCAGAGGGGGTGGCGGTTCTGATGGCAGCGGTGGGGGCCGGGGTTTGTCCGTGCTTGGGGCTCCTCTGGCACTGCTGGAAGCCCGAGGGGGGTTCAGGAGCTCCCCATAGGAGTGGAAGTCGAAGGCGGGCGGGGGGGTGGGCTGCATGCCCTGTGCGCTCAGCAGCGAGTGCAGCATGTTCACTGTGTCCTGGTAGTCACTGGCCTGGCTGGAGCTGTGCCCGTTGGCCCCCGAAGGCCCCTTGTCCAGTTTGCTGTGGGGCCCCCGTGCTTTGCTGGCAGCTGCGAAGGGGAGGCCCCCCCCGTCCGTGGGGAGATGGGGGTATGGGAAAGGTGCCCCAGGGCCTTTGGAGGCTTTGCTGCCTTTGGGCTGGTGCTCGTGGGCTGCGGCGGCTGCCTCCTCAGACAGAGGCCTCTTGCGGGAAGAAGAGGAGGAGAGGGGCCCATAGCTCTTGTGGGGCACAGCCCCAGGCTGGCCACTGTGCTTAGAGTCCCCTGGGCGCTTGGTGCCGGTGCCACTGGGCCCAGCGCCGAGCTGGGGGGGGAAGTGTTTGTGAGAGTGGTGGTTGTGGTGGTGGTGGTGGTGGTTGGAGGAGTGCCCCTTGTGCTTCTCCTTGTGCTCCCGGGCCTTGGTGCTGCCCTCGTCCGAGGAGCCGTGTCTGTCCCCGCCCGGGGGCACCTTGATGCGCATCTTGATCTCCTCCTGCTTGGAGGGCAGCGGCCGCTCCCCGGCGCCACCAGTCACCGGCAGCCTCAGCTTCAGCGCTGAGCCCTTGTCACCCTTGTCCGGGTTCTCGGGGCCGCCGATGGGGATCTTCAGAATGATGGGTGATGGATCCCTATCCTGCACCTCTCGCTGCTGCTGCACCAGCAGGTTCTGAGCAGCGTAGGCGTACTGGGACCTCACATTGGCCTCCATGTTCTCCAGTTGCCTCTTCTGCGCCGCCAGCTCCTCGGCATGCTTGGCCCTGTACTCCTTGAGTGACACCTTGGCTGCTGGTGGGTTCTTGCTGCCCTGCTTCGGATAAGGGGCCCCATCCTGCTGCTGCCCAGGGTGCTCAGCACCGCAGCTCTCGCTAGTCCGGTGGCTCTGCGCTGGCTCCAGCTTGGCCGGGGGGTACCAGTGCTCCTGCTGCTGGGCCACGTCGCTGCTCTGCTCGCTGGGGGAGTCGGGGGCGGGCGGCAGCGCGGCGCTGGAGGACGTGGACATGCTCATCAGCCCCGCGATGTTCATGTCCGAGCTGTTGTTCCGGGAGATCATGCTGAGGATGGTCTGCTCCGACAGGCTCTCGTCGTCCCCATGCTCGTCAGCCTTGGACTTCCTGGCTGCTTGGGAGGCCTGGAGGCAAGGCAGAGAGCACAGGGTCACTGGGGCTGGCCCAGGGCTGTGGGGGGCAAGCTCCCACTTAGATCCGCTTTATCCCCATCCCTCCCCATGGGGGAAAAGCCCCAGGCCATGGTGGTGAGGTTGAAACCTCATCATCTTCTTCACAACAGAGCTCAGTTTGGTACTGAAGCAACATCCTGCAGAGGCAGTGCCCCCACTGCCCCCCAGTACTGCACGGAGGTGCCACACACAGGACCCCAGAGCAGGTCCTTACCCTCCAGTTGCGGATGCGCTTGAGCCGGCTCGGAGTCTTCTCCAGGATCTGCAGGAACTCATGGGTCAGCTCTGCAGAGGAGACACAAAGCCAGGCCTCTTGGTCAGACCCAGCCAGAGCAGCGCTCATCAGGGCACCCCCTACTCGCTGCTGGATGGAGCTCCCACTGCCATGGAGCTACTGCAGGAGGGGAACACTGCGAGCCACCATCACTGACCACATTAAACTCATCTCCCTTGGTGCCTTTTGCCATCTCTGGTGGACCACAAAAGCTGCTGCTGCACTGAAACCTTGGCAAGACCTGAAGCCCTGGAGTCCCTGCAGTGCCCATGGGCTGGGGCTGAAGGCAGACCCAGGACCAGAGATGCCAACACAACGGAAGAGCCTTTGTTTTTTTTTGGGGGGAAACCTCGCTCCCAAACTTACCATCTAAGAGCTCCAGAGTTACAGTGCCATCAACGTATTCCCACCAGTGCTTCCCGTCCGTGGAGACTGGGATCTCCCAGTTGGACCACTTACAAGCCAGGTGGATACAGACGCAGGCCACAACGGGAGGGGTGTACTGCAGGCTGAAGGTGGTCAGATGCAGGCTGACGGCACCAGCAGGGAGAGAGAAACAGAAAGCCATGAACTCCCAAGCCTGACCCTCAGCACTCACCAGTGCCCACTGACACCACTGCAGGGGCTGGGGACACAGGGGGGACACCCCCGCGGGGTCCTGCCCCTGCTCCAACCCTGCAGTCTCCAGCCCTGCTCCTGCTGGGGCTCGTTTGGGTGCAGGCAGCTCTGGTCAAGGCTCTGCCAGCCCCAAGCTCTGCTGGGGGCTCTGCTCCAGGCAATTCCAAGCGCAGCTCCTGGGCTGGCTCTTCCCAAGCTGAGGAAGAGCACTGAAGGTGTGGGTGGCTCCAGTGGGACAACTCAGACACCAGCACTGGGAGGTGGGAGAGGGGAGCAGCGATGCCCTCAGCACGCATCCTGCTCTCTACCTGCAGGAGCACGGGCTCCCATCAGGAGCACATGGAGCACCCCATGGGAATGGCAGCCTCCTGATGGCAGGACCTGCATCTCCTCATCACGCTGGGGTCAGGCCACACTGCACAGGGCAATGTAGGGGGACAGGGAGCTGCAGCTCACGCTGCTGCTCCAGACCAAGAAGCCAAAGGCAGGGAATTGGGAGCCTCTGGCCACTCTTCCAAGGTAAGAAGTGGGGCTGGGTGCTCAGAGAGCCTGAACCCTGCCCTGGGATGATGCCAGAAGGAAATCCAAGTTAAAACACCTCTATCTGCCTCATCAATCCAATTCCTCACTCTGGGCTCTCCTAGCATCACTTTAAGGCCACACTGAGGCCACGTTTCCTCCTTTCCACCTGGATTTATTTCCATTCCAATCTTAACCCGTGATTGCATTGCTGTTGCAGGGATAAAACCCATCTCAGGGCTGCCTTTCCCTACAGACACGTTACCAACAGCACCTTCCTTTGGGAAACCCACACGGTGCCCATGGGTTACAGACCACCTTCAACAACCGCTCACCCCAGGCCACGGGCTGCAAACCAGCCTCTGCCATGGCCTATCCCAGCTTTTCTCTCCCATCCCACCACTCTTGGGAGCTCTTTTCCATGTCCACACCTTGCTCTACTCCCAGCGTGAGCTCCTGAAGCCGCTCATTCAGGGAAAGCAAGGCTGCAAGTGCTGGAATCAGCCCTGCAGTGAGGATCTTGGGCCAGCCCCACACAGAGCATTCCCGATGGGAAACCCAAAGGCTTTCTGTTGCTTCCGAGGCTCAAGAACAAGACTTTTCCCTTGTGAGGCCTCACGCCTG